ATCTCGATAAGCCGAAAGCTTTCGCGGATCGCGAATCGCGCCTTATAAGCGCGAGAGAAACAGTCCAGGATCCGGGGACACGAACGAATTAAAGAACGTTCGCGAGAATGGTATTCGTATTACACGGCGAATATATTTCGATAAAACAAAGTTGAAGGGGAATTTTCGCGTTGTGGCGAGAACGAGAATCGAAGAAAAGGACTCGCAATATTTTTACGCGCGCGCGCGTGAGATCCGATCTGGTTGACCGTCGGTGAGACTCGCGAGAAGAGTCTCCGACGAATACCAGCATGTCTGGTAGCTCTTCTCGTTCGTTTTCCACACCCGCATCTTTGGCGCGACTCCCTTTCATTCCCGATCCTCCCGCGACAGCCTACGCGACCAAGAGAGATTCATAAACGGGAGATGCGAGGTGATCCTGTGGCATTGTTTGCACGCCGCAGTTTCGTTCGGCCAGAACGAAATCTTCCTCCCACGATCGCGGTGCGTGGGGTCAGCAACGTGATTCGCGATTATGATAAAGACTCGAAACCGCCATCCTCTCCGACTTTCGATGCTCGAGTTCGGATGGCGGATTTTCTCCCTCCCTCCGTCAATCTAATTTCGAACGTCGTTATCGCCGTCCTCTCCGTGTTTCCGAAATACGGTCCTGTACAGTTCGCGACGCATTAACTGCCAGCAGAACTAAGCGTTCATTGCATCGAAATGTCTCAGACGCGACACGTGAGCGGAGACGCCGCGGAAAGAACGCGGCGCGATATCTTTCACTGCGATGAGGCGAAACGCCGAAGGCAAAAATACACGCTGCGTGTCTCGCATCCTCGTAAAGAGACGAAAATATCTGTTCAAGACAAACGGGTGAGGGAGAGGAAAAGGCAGGGGCCGGGATACGGCGCTCGGCGCGTACCGCACATTTTACACCCGCCATCGTTCTTTTATCCTGTCTCGTTCCGAGAAACGGAAGTTTTGATTGACCATATCGTATCCGCGAACGATCCTCGGCGCGATATTAGAGACGGGATCACGAACGAGCGCGAGTGGCGTGAGAATTGATAGGAGACGTTCCAAACTTTTACGAGCATTTTATGAGATAATGTTATCACTTGTCGAGTCGCTTGATAAATATGCTCGAATCGATTAAAAATCCACGAGGCAACGGCATTATTATTACCGATCTCGGCGTTTATGAATCCCGTTTCAAAGAAACAATCTCCGATCTCTCGCTGCGCGAAAATTTTCATCTCGCCATTTTAGCATAGCCGGTTCATACATCAAGCAACGAACTGTAATAATCGTAATATTTTATCGTATCGCTCTATAATCGATATTTCAAGGAAGAGTATACTTTTCAAGCATTTGCAAAAAATCCGATATATAAGCATATACACGTAGTAATTAAATAAATTATAAAGTAACAACAATAGTGAAACAATGATATTAATTAATTTTATCAGCTACAATTTTCTCTTTTTTCAGTCAATATCAAAGAGAGAATGAATAATCGTTATACATCTTTAATTTATCGTAGACATGAAAATTGAGAATTGAAAAATATCTTTATCTCTCGAAAACAGGGATCCGTGATCTTCGACTATTTATATGCGAACTGATATAGACAGCCAGTATAGACACGTCGGATAGGTAGATACACGGTCACGCGTTGTCGGTTTTCACCGCAGTCTCCTATAAACACGCACGCACGCGCTCGTGTGCTACTTGTCCAATCTGTCACATAACTCGGGGTGGCTTTACGACGTTTTACAGTGTCGTGTTCGCTGTAAAACCGCGAACCCTCGTAAAAGACCGACGACGCGCGTCTCCCTCGTCGCGAATTAGATTCGCGCGACGGGGCGATTTTATCCGGCGAACATCTCCATCTTCCTCTTCCCTCTCGCGTTCTTCTCTCTGTCTTTTCTACGCTTTTTAAATTTTCACCCTCTACGGCCGGTTCCATTCACGCCGACGTCGCCATTCGTTTAGTTGGCGAACACGCGCGTACGTTGCTTGCAGCGACCGCGACGAAGCCGACGCGATTCGCTTCTCGGCCTCCTACTGCGAGCCCGAAGATCGTGGAATGAATAAAGAAAGCGGATGAACACAAAGGGCGAGGCGAGAGACTCGATAATCGCCCGTTCCCAAGAACCGCGAAATTGGTATCGTCGACTCAAGTTCCTCTTTTCTTCTATAATTCTAGATTTTTGCGGCGCGTTTAAAACTTAAATGCATAACTTAATAGGTACATCTAGCTTCGAGCAAACAAATAATCCACGAATCGTTAAAAGATAAAGTTCTAGGCACTTCTCTCCCTCCTCCTCCTCTCTCTCTCTTTCTTTTTTTTAACTTTTTTGAACATTAAAAATAATTTGCATGCGCAAATTTTTAGAAAAATGATAATTTTCATGCATATAATTTTGTGGATATAGTAGCCCCATAAACATCGTAATAACAATCGTAATGATGATAATTAATAAACAAACGGATATTTATCTATTTGCTGTTACGCGAGTCTGATCACAATACGAATCTACTTGCGTGTTGATGTTGATATTTATATTATTCCGCTTTATTTTTATACGTCAACCGATTTGGGCGATTCTTACGAGTCGAGCTGTATTCTGTATTCTGCGAATACAACCGGTACAATTATGCGAATCGGTATTCTACGCGCGATCGCACAATTTTGCTCGGACCCCCCCGATAAAATTGTCGACCAACGAGGATTTATTAGCCGCTCTCGCCGGCGCGCCCTATCCTGCGCTCCCCCTCCTTTATCGATACGATATTGCGGATGATCGAGAGGGTGGCAACTGTTGCAATTAAATGCTTAATTGGATCGACATACTGAAGCTCCGGTGATTGCCGTACCGGAACACCTGCTACGATTGCTGGCTGATTTAATACCGTATGGAAGAATCGGCGGCGAGTTTTACAACGCATTTAATGCACCCCGGTTCTCTCTCTCTCTCTGATTAAAATATTCATGTCGTCCGAGACGGTCGAGATTAAGCGACCGACTTTTTGCATAATTGTCACTTTAATTGTGCATTATTAATTGACCAGCGACACAGCTGTGCGTGACGTGGATTAACACCGGTTTCGTAACATCGGAACGTCCGGTGCGTTATAAACTATATCGAAACATTGTTATATATTTTTAACAAATATATATTACGCAATTTTGCGCGTGTACGCGTGCGTGTGCCGTATTCTCGATTACCGAGTTTCAGTACCTCGTATACTTTAGTCCCTTATCGAGAATAATAGCGCGGGCTCTATTATCCTTTCGAGACGAGGTACCGCGATTCCACGGTGGAAAGGAAGGAAACCGCAGCCGCGGGCTCTATTATCCTTTCGAGACGAGGTACCGCGATTCCACGGTGGAAATGAAGCGCTGAAAGGAAGGAAACCGCAGTTTTGTTCGCGCCGCGTCGAAGCGTCTAATTATTGCGTCGTTTTCACATCCCAGAAGACTAGGCCCCGCTCGAGAGAAGGTAATCTCGTTGCGTGCGATCGCGTGTCGTGTTCGCGGACGAACGTGAAAACATGCGAGGTGGCTTTAATTAACTCGATTAAGACGTTATTCCGGCGGTAACGCGATTCTTTGCCGAGCTTCTTTCGCCTGTTCGATACGACTCGAAGCGTCCCGATTGCCGATCGGCGCCAATTCTCCCGTCGCGAAACTTCTTGTTAACACTTCTCGTTTCTCGCTCGCAGCAGCGCCAGATGTATTACTCATTGAGGCGATTAACGTAGATCACCGCTTATGCAAATACGAGTAAAATCGTTGGGTTTCGTTAGACATAATCGTGTTACGCAAAATGTAACAGAGTCAATTGTCGGTGCACGCTTGCACGTGCAAATTATAGACGAGTACGCATAAATCAACGTCTTTTCGTTTGCATGGAAATTGTACCGAGATTTCATATCGAGAATGGATTAATTATTAAGGAACTTTGATCGAAATCTGCAAAACCAATATTACAGCCTGTCTCACACGTGAAGGGATAATGTACAATAAAACGTAAACTTTTAATCCTAATCGATAATTAGATGTGCGCCGAGTTGAAAATTTGCGTGATTATGTCGCAATCGCAATGATCGGATATTTTGATCCATATCTAATCGTAACTATGAGTTTTATCTAACTATAGGTAAGAAGAATTATAATCACGAAAGAGATAACTCTGAAAGTATCAATTATGAGCAATTCCAAACATATGCAAGAAAAGAGAGGTATATGTACAGATCGATTTCATTATACGAATTTGCTAAATTATAGATTTGTTATAATATTTAATAACGGAGTGAAATAAAAATGTAGGAATTTTTCCCCGGAACATTTTTTTCGAGTTTTCTTTAGTATCTCCAGATTATAACATTAAAATGCAACTAGAATTTTCCATATAATTTCTCGACTTTCATTTTCTCGAGTTCGCGCTTGATACTCGGAGTATTTGTACGAATTATTTATAGTAAATGAAGGTAAAAACTTACGGATGAAGTGGCGGTGCATAGAAAACATGGAAAACATGGAGTATTTTTATAATATTTAATAAGATACGAGTAATAAAAATCTAGAAATTTTTCCCCGGAATATTTTGTTCAAGCTTTCTTTAGCGTCTCCAGATTATAACATTGAAATTCAACTCGAATTTTTGATACAATTTTTTGATATTTCATTTTTTCGAATTCGCGCTTGATACTGGGAGCATTTGTATGAATTATTTATAATAAATGAAGATTAAAAACTTACGGATAAAATCGCGATGAAGAAAGGCATGGAAAACATGAAATATTTTTTATAATATTTAATAAGAGAGAGATTCGGGTGAAATAAAAATCTAGAAATTCTTCCCCGGAATATTTTTTTCAAACTTTCTTTAATGTCTCCAGATTATAATATTAAAATTCAACTCGAATTTTCTATACAATTTTTTCGAGTTCGCGCTTAATACTCGGAGCATTTGTATTGTTTGAAGTAAATAAAGATAAAAACTTACGGGTGATGTGGCGGTGCATGGAAGGCAACGGCCGCGGCGGCCGCGGCCGCCGCCGCCGCGTGATGCTCCCAAGCCGTGGCCGGATGCGGCGGCGGCGGCGGTCCGTGATGCGGATGAAACGGTGGCGGAGGCGCCGGATGAGGGTGCGAATATAAGGTCGCGTGAAAGGCCGAATGCGGATGATGCGGTGGCGGGGGTGGCGGCAGCAACGAGAATGCCTCCTGATAAGCGACCTCCTTCTCCGGCATCTTGCCGGCGGCCGCGGCGGCTGCTGCTGCTGTTGCCGCTGTCAAAGCCAGCTGTCGCGTCAGGAAATTGTCAGCCTCCTCTTCCAGAATCAAGGCAGTTCGGTCCGTCTGGCACCCTGCTTACGGCACCGTTGGTACGAACGACGGGCGATAACGGCGGACATAGTCCGTTTTCAAAGGAGCCGACCCACTCGTCCTTGAAGGAAGCCTGTGATGAACGCGTTACTCGCAACAATCACCCGTCGCTTGCGGTAGTCGAGATAGACCGGTAGACAATGTCTCCTGTGGCGCACTTTTCAAACCGTTAGCATTCTCTCGTCGTAACTGAAAACTAGACCGGAAACGAACGTATTCTTTTTCTTTGCGTCGACAGACCCGTCGGCACTTGCGAAAGTACCGAT